ATGGAATATCATTTAGCTTTAAAAGGAATGAAATTCTGACACGGGCTACAACATGGATGAACCTGAGGACGTGATGCTCAGTGAAATAAACCAGTCACAAAAAGACAAGTACTGTACAATTCCACTTACACAAGGTGCCCAGTGCAGTCACGGTGATAGAAACAGGAAGCAGAACAGCAGTTGCCAGGACCTGGGAGGAGGGGGAAATAGAGTTGTTCAGTGGGGATTCGAGTTTCAGCTTTGCGAGAGGAAAACGTTTCTGAGGTTGTTTATACAACAGCGTGAATGTGCTTAACACTATTGACCTGTACCCTTAGAAATGGTTAAGATGGTAGATCTAATGGGTCCTTTTGCCACAGTTAAAAAAACAAAACAAAACGGAATGGCAAGCTTATCTTACAGTGAGAATGCATCTATCGAGCAGACCGGACCTACAGGTGGCCGTGTGGCACCAATGTGCTCCCTCCCCGAAGATGAGCCTCGCGGACTTAGGGGCGAGGGGGGGGACAGGAACCAGGTTGGAGAGCCCTGTCCCCACAACCAGGACTCCCGTGCTGGGTCTAGCAGGTCATGTCCGCAGGCCTAGGCATCCACTCCCTGCGCTTGGGAGAGGCCCCACCTGTGGATCCAGGCGGTCTGAAGTCCTGTGAGACAATTTCAGCTCTGCTAGTCAAGCGATTCTATGTTAAGGAGATTCACTCTGAGACAGGCGGTTTTTCATTTCCGAACTTCACAAGTAGCATCAGAATTTGTCCCCCACCCTTGTGAATCATGCTGTGTGAGTCAATGCTCATCTTGATTCAAACTCCAAACGCTTCCTACGTGACTCTTAATTGCTTTAATGATTCAAGCTGCCTTCTGATTTATGTGCATAAGTAAACAGGATTACTACTTTGGATTAATTGAGGGGACGATCTATTACTTGTGCGTGTGAAAGCCAATCCAGCTTATCAAGGTATCCGCTGGGTGCGTTGTTGACAGGTGAGAACCGTGGTTTACATTAAAGGACAGTTAAGAAAGGGGCGTTTATGTTCATTTTGGACTATTTCAAACGGTACATCTGCAAAGTGAAACATCCCCCTCAAATCCTTGCACATTTTAAACTGGAGAACACCAAGGCGTTTTAAAGATTAATATCATGAACCATTCTGTACATAGCTTCAACAATTAGTCTCACAGCCACTTTTATCTATGATCCCTGGCACTTTTTAATAAACAATTTTTCATAGGCAGTGCAACATGGTTGAACTATTCCAAAATAGAAAGATTATAACTGTTTCATAAAACACTTGCTTTAAGTGTGAAAACATACATGCTCATAAATATATATATATAAATATGCATAAAAGGGAAAAAAAAGAAGGAACAAATCTGGTCGGCAGTGGCTTCTCAGTGCTCTTAGAACGTCTCAAAATTACTCAGCAGAGTAGGTGGCCAAGGGGGACACCCCCCCCCCATCCCCCTGCCAGCAGCCTCTCCTGTGTGTCAGTCTCCACCTGGAATCTTCCTCCCCCATCTTCACTCACCCACAGTTCTGTTCCTTTCTCCCCTGACTCCCTAAGACAGGATTAGTCACTTGCTCCCAGAAAACAGCATTTCCTCCTCTGGGTGGCTCTGGGGTGGACCGCCAACATCTCGGGGGAGGGACCGGTTCCTCTTGCACCCCCATAGCAGCACCGGGGTTCAGTAAACATTCCCTGAACGACTCTCACGGCCCAGAGAGAACTGGCACCTACATGGGAGCCCCACGGCATGCCTTTGTGGGCACAGACCCCCAAGGCTCAGCTTCCAGCCCCTGCTCACATCGCCAGGAATCCAGGCCCATCTCCCCTTCGGGGTGCGTAGGCCAGGCCCCCACCCAGCACAAGGGGAGGGCACCTGGCCTGGGAGAGGGCTTGGAAAGGGGCCCACCCTAGTGGCTGGTGGGCCATGTGGCAGGGCGAAGAGCACCGGCCTTGGAGTCAGGCAGGCAGGCCCGGGTTTGGGGTCTAGTTCAGCCTCTTGACTACCTCGGGCGCCTAGTGCCCCATCTTTACCAATATGAGCCTCCGTGGCCACAACTGGAAACAGGTGAAAAGACTCACCTTGTTGTTAGGATAAGGAAGAATATCGTGTTTGTAATGTATCCGGCGGAGGGTCCACAAATGGTAGCCGTTGTTTTTCCGCTAATTTTCATGGACCGTCTTTACCCAAAGGGGTCTGTGGACTTCTAGGTAACCGTTAGGGCCGGTGGGGTAGCTCTTAGTTGTGCACAGGTCTCATTCCCAGTTCCATGCTGCTGTAGGATCTGACCTCCAGCCCTGTGGCCTCCAGCTGAGACCCTCAAAGCCGGCTGCACAGCAGGATCACCTGGGGTCTTACCCTCCTGCAGGCAGGCACTACTATCCTGATTCCATGATTCCGAGGGGACCTGTCTGCAGAATGACCCACTCAAGTAGGCCCAGTCTTGGAGGCTGAGGCCCCCACAGCACCCACCTCCTCACAGAAACCGCCGTGGTTCATAGCTACCCACGGGGGTCATCACCTGGCTTCCCTCAGAATCACCTGGATCCTTACCTAGCTTTCTGGGGTCCTCACTGGGCTGAACTGGAATCCCTGCTGATGTGACGGGTCCATCCTACGCGCATCTGTGTGCCCTGCAGGGTCCACGTGCTGCCTGCACAAGAGGGAGGCCATCCCCATTTCTCACTTCATCAGCGCTGGGCACTGCCCACCACGTGTCCCACTTACCCGGCTCATCATTTATAAACCCAGGGTGGGGTGGGTGCAATGGGTGAAACGGGTCAAAAGGTACAAATTCCCAATTATAAAATGACTAAATCATGGGGCTGTAATGGACAGCATGATAACTATAATTAATAATACTGAATTGCATATTTGAAAGTAGCCAGGAGAGTGTATCTGGGAAGTTCTCAAGAAAAAAAAAAATTTCTACCTACCTATGGTGACGGATGCTAACCGGACTTATGGTGGCGATCATTTTGCAGTCTATACAAATACTGTT